GGCATTCCAGTCAGTCAATTGCCATCTATATATTCTTACATTTCTTTTTTTTTTTATTATAAAGTTTTATAACAAAATCAATTATTAAGTTGCATTACAACTTGGAAATTCACCATGAGTAGCCAGACTAAATCGTCCTGTGGCTTATTTGCTTGTCACTACTCACTTCAGAAATAATCATCACAAATCCATATATCACTAATGAGCCTCAACATATTTATAACATAAATACTAAACACTATAAACCTAACTGAATAATTAAAAACATGTTTAAAGCTGCCTCTAAAAATTCAAAAAGAGAAACAACATACTACGTATCACCATATATTCTTACACGATGTTAGTATCATAGTATCAACATCCAGAAAAACCTGGCATGGAAAAATTAAAACTTACAAAAGAGCATGAGTATTATTTAGTTGTGTGTTTTTCTTGCAAGATACTGAAGACAGCAGCTTAAAGGGTAGATCTAACAAAAAAAAATGAGACATTACAACATTTACTTGAAATAAATAGTCTTCAAACTACTTTCTACAAATAGTAATATATATATGTACATATAGAACAATTGAGACAAAAATCTCGAACCAAAAAACGTACTTTCATTGTTCATAGTTTGCAGATAAATACAAGTTCCTGAGAATCTGACACGATGTTAACAATACCTTTAGTTTTCATTTGTTAAAAAATAATGTAAATAATACCTTCTTTGATCATCTCAACTATGGAAGAAAGCAAGTTCTCAAACCTCAAAAAACATTTCAGACAGTTGTAGTCATAGGGAAAAGTACCACTTATTTTTGTTTTTAAACTTCTGGACCTAAATCTACATAGTATTGGATTCCACATTTTCAAAATTAAGTCCTAATCATATTGTATATATGTAATTTCATCTTTATTTCATAATCTAGAGATAAACTTATTTATGTCACTAAAAATCTGTAGAAATCACATTTTGACAAATAAGCTTGGAAAGCTAATGAACTTCTCAAGTCATAATATTTTAGGTCATTTAAGATGAGCTGTTCAAATCTAATTTCGTAGATGAATATCGAAGCTCATCTTCAAATTCTATTAGATTTAGAAACATTGTAGTTCTTATTCATTTTAGTAAACTTAAAAATGTTTATATTGAGGAAGTTACCTTTAGTTGCAGTATTTTTAAATGCAATTCCTAATTGAATTGGCCTCTCACTGCACATTCGTTAAGCTTACGCTGGAAGAATCTGTTTTATATTTTACAACTCGCTAATAACAGATTTCACAGTATGAATGGCTTTACCTTACCAGGTTATATTACATCACTAATAAGACTCAAAATATTATTTATAAACCTAACAGGACAATTAAAAAGTTGCCTTTGCCTATTAAAATCCACAAATATATAAAACACAAAAAGGTATCACCATATATTCCTTAATTTGTTAAGTATAAACATTATTTATCTTTTAAGTGAAAGAATTCAAAAGCATGTAATTTCAGAAAATATGTTTTTTTTGTTTACATATGTACCAAGTTGTACAATTTACCGCAGTATACAGTTAATCTTTTACATGATTTTACTTCTGTAAAGAGCATATTTTTACCCATGACTACACAACTGTTCTATTTGTTGAATAAACATTAAACAATATGTCCAAGATAATGTAAGAAAATATTTAGTTTTGTTAAAGAATGCCTTCATTAATGAAGTATAATAAATCATAACGTTTGTTTTAAATTAAAGTCTTTTTTTTTTTAAATTAAAATGAGCACTCAAACAAATACAACAGCAACACAGAGCATTCTGAGGAAAACATAATACAATAGTCCACCCTTCTTTTCTTTTGGAGTGTCCTTCAATGAAAAGATTCTCACGTTGGACACAAAACTGGAAAGTAAAACAAAACATTTTACAACCAGAATCTGGTTGCTCTGAAGCTTTCTACACTCAAGATATACAAAGTAACAGTAAAGCAATGGTATATTTTGTCTGCATTTTTAATTTTAGTCATAGTCAAGTTGGCAACATTCTTTGAAATACGACTCTTAAGACTTGTTCAGGAGGTCTAATTTAATTATCTTAATCTAGCTGACAAAAAGGAAATATAATATTCCTCTAAACTTAATTTTTATAGAACAATGTTTAATGAATAAGCCTAATATTTAAAATATTACATTGTACATGATTTAACAAGTTATTACAACAGAACAAACAGTTCATAAAATAAGCATAAAGGTAATGATGCAAAAGTATTTTGTTGGTTTAATAAATTTTTGGTAATTAGCTTTACTATGTAAAGCTTCGGCAAACAGTACGACATAAAATAAGATTTTTAATAATGTCTTACCTTTCAGGATGTAGTCTGTCAAAAGTATTGGTACCATTGGACTGTCATCATTGATTGCTTGCAGGACTAAAACAGAAGAGAACATCAGAAAGGCACCTATAATGCTCGAAACAATCTAGTTTAAAACTTCTTACATGACACACTCAGTACATACAACAAATTGGTAATTGCTTTACATGTAAAAAAAATAAATATTTCTGTAACACATGAATCAAAATGGTCATATTGTATTACACAAATCAACATATGCTAATGCTGTATCACATAAATCAATGTGGTAAATATATGGAACAACACAGTTAATGTATTAACCATACATGCTAAATGTATCTTGCAGAATAACATAAGTAGTATATAGAACATGATCATTGTGCACATAAATTTACATGCTAACTGTATCTCACATAACACAGTAAATATATGGAATATGCTCACTGTGCACCTGAATCAACGTATTAAATGTATCATATGGAACATCATCATAACAGGATCTTGTGGAACAATACTGTATTACAGATAATGTTATATGCATCCAAAATAGAGCTTTATACTTGATAATGGAAATCAGGCATCAACACTCACTTTTGATAAGAACCTGCAATGACCTGTTAGATGGTGGTCCTTGTTCAGCATTGTATGGAATGACTGTGGTTAGGTACTGTAAACGAGATAAAATTAAATCATATAATGTTGTTAAATATTTGTACAAAAAATTAAATTGTTTTAATTTATAGCCCACCTCATATTTGATGATTGAAGTTCTTGTCCTTTTCTTTACATTTCCACATTTGAAAATGTAGTTGTAGTATATTTGTCTTCTGATTAAGAGTTGTTTTTCTTAGCTTAATGGCATGAGATTCTAAGGTGGAATTCTTCTTATAAATGGAGAATGATGCAGAAAAAACTGGAGACAAGCACAACATCACACTTGTTTCGGCAGTGGTCGGTAATACTGCTGGTGTTGTAGGTTTTAGCATCATAGTGTTATTTCATTCGACTGCAGAGCCTTCTAGTGGTTGATCTCATATATCCTTGGGTATATGAACTCATATACCACTAATGATGTATTTAGTGGATGTTGTTTGTCTTTAAAGTTGAAGAAGCCTTTTGATTTAGACTCTGTTTTAAAGTCACATTTTGACTGAACTTGTGGATATGAAATAGTGTACACATCAACAAAATTAAATCTATTCTAAGTAATACAGACAGGTTAATACATAATAAGAATTATCCAGCAACAATCAAGAAAGCCAATCTTACCATATACTTTTGAATTAAAAATAAGAGGTATCATAGCAGAAGAAACCAATAAATCAGACTAAAGGTTTACACTGTATTGTTTTACATGGACTCCATAAGGTTCACAAACAGGGATGTCCACAGTTAAAACTAAATGTTTCTAGAGTAAACACCTATCATCAACCATTGACTATTTTTGTATAGGATGAATATCTGGATACTTTTGAATTTGTCAATAACTTAAGCAGACACAATTTAATTTAGATATTCATTACACTATTTATGATATAAAGTTACTGTTTATAAATATAACTAGATAAACAGCTTTCAAATTGTGGGTTACAAGTGCCTTTCAAGAGAATTGCAAATACTTTCAGACTTTAAAAACTGACCTTTGATTGCCAAAATATCAATTCTTTATACTTCCTTGTAACTCATGTTTTATTGGTCAATAATAACAATTCTGAAGTAACACAGGACAGTGAAGTTTGAGAACTGCTGTTCTAGACAAAACCACTGACCTTTATTTTAACCTTGTGCTTGCTGAGAATGAAACTGTACAAAATATAACTAAAGGTGTTTTTAAAAACTATTTTATGTTTTGTAATGAAACAATCTCATTTTATTTTTAACAGTAAAATCTTTGAAACGATTAATGGAGTGGCTATGGTCTCAAGCCTTGGGCCTGACCTTTATAATCTTTTTCTGAGCTTCCATGAATAAGTTTGGTTAAGTCTTGTCCTGAGCATTTTAAACCTGTGTATTACAAGAGACGTGCTTATGATAATTTTGTGGTGTTTATCAAAGTTTAGCTGGTTAATGAATTCCTGCAGTTTTTAAATGGTAAACATTCCAGTAAAAGTCAATTGTTGAAAATCAACAGGATGACAAATTTCCCATTCTTACGTGTTTGTGTCTTAAATAACTTACCACTAAAGTAAACTTTATTCCAATTTGGTTAAAACTATGCCATAAAGAGCCTTTAAGATAGCAGGAAAACAAAACGTTTTAAAGTAAGTGGCAAGTTCAACCAGTTTTTGTAATTTCTCTGTCTTAAATCCAAGCCACTTGATCTCAGCTAAAAACCATGAAACCCTGCAGCTTGGTGTCTTACACATTCCTTTTGTTCAATCAACTCATCTTCTGTTAAACTACACACACTGATGATTCATACACTGCCAGTCTGAATATCACAAATAACAAAACAATGTTGCCTCCTTTTGGATAAGCATTAACTCACAAGACATGCTTACTGCTTGTATTGAAAGCATGGAACTCCACCAAAAGTCACAGTGAAATGTTCATAAAGTATAATTTATAAGGAAATACACAAAAAGTTCAACATTACCAGGGTAAAATAACATACTTAAGTATCTGTTTTCATGAAAAACTCTACTTTATCCCTTTTGAACATTAAAAATGTGAATAAAAAAAGAAAATTAGATTTGTGTTGAAAAATTCATATCTTTTTTATAATTTTTCCATAGATTTTATCCTTTTGATGTGGGAAGTCCTTTTTTTTTAAAAAAAAAGAAACAAAAGGGAACCGTCAATGGCTGCAGAACTTGAAATTCTTTTGAGCAGGATAGGAGTAAATTTATGAGACCCTTTTTTTTTTCATTTGTATTAGCTATATTTTTGTGTGCCAGCAATACCAAGCATTGGGCAAGTTTTTGTTATTTCTCTGTCTTAAATCCAAGCCACTTGATCTCAGCTAAAAACCATGAAACCCTGCAGCTTGGTGTCTTGCACATTCCTTTTGTTCAATCAACTCATCTTCTGTTAAACTACACACACTGATGATCCATACACTGCTAGTCTGAATATCACAAATAACAAAACAATGTTTTGTTATTTGTGATTCTATTTCGTTACTCATCAGGATCTCTACCAGCCTATCCTCAAACTGAAATTCTTTTAGGCAGGATTAGAGTAAATTAATCTATGAGACCTTGGGCATGGTCAAATACATCAAACGAAAGTACAAAACAGTAATTAGATCTCGTATCAGTCAAGAATGACGGAGCTATGAGCTAAAAGTTTGTTCTCGAAAAAAAACTCGGAGCCATTCTAGGAGCAGCTATGCCACAGCTAAAAATAAGTTGAACCTCTTTTCATATGATAATGAAAAAAACAACATCAAAACACGAAATGAAAGCTTTCAGGTAATACCTGGAAAACTGCTGGTCAAGTAATTAATGGTTATTTTTTCTGTTTTCTTACTTTATCAAGGCTCACTTTAAAGTACTAGGCATCAATTCTACTTTTTATTTTTAAATTAACTACAAAATATGCATATACTTTGGGCTTTATAAAATGCAAACATTAAAGCAAAGTACATGTAGGCTTACAGTAATGCATTATAACAGTGCTTTTTATTGATAGGAAAACAATTTTTGGTAATACTTAACAAGAAAACTATTGAGAAACTATTTTTTTTTATGATGAAATTAGTCATTTTCAGATTGGCCATTGGGCATTTATCAAAGCAATATCTTCATAATTTTCTCTCAGCAATGTTGTTACTTAGGTTAGTTTATTTATATTGATAGATATTTGTTGTATTATTAGTATTCACAATCCCACTTGTACTGACCACTGTTGTCAAAGCTACATGTTATCTCCCAAGGTTTGTGAGTATTCTTCTATGGCATTGTAATGTTTATAAAATACTAGTCCTACATATAATATATATAATTATTATTATTATATCAGTTGATTTTATTGATATTAAAACAATTCTCATGGAGTTTAGATAAAATTTCTATTTCTCAAATATATACCTGAATCTTCAATTTCCAAGACTATATAGATATTGACAGGTCAAATACAAACTGATTTTAGAATAAATTTTGATTACAAGATATATATATGGAAAGTTTGTCAGATATCTCCCTACATAAACAGAACAACTAACAGCTATGAGAGATATTACCCAAAACTAGCTACCTTTGGCTCCATGCCATTGCTTCCAACAGTTCGACCCTTCTTCTTGTCCATGTGGTACTGGCGTCTCTTATTCTGAATACCCAGCAGAAACGAGATAAAAGTATTCTTGAGTTCTTTTTCAAATTCTAGCTCATCTCTTAAAGCTAGCTGCTGGACCAGGGTTTCTGAATGGTTCTTAATCAGAGTTTCCAGTTCAAGTAACACCCCATTTAACTGCGATATGGTGAGGGTCTTCAGTTCTAAATAATATAAAACAGAAAGGAATTAGATATTTTCAAAACTAAAAACACCTAACCACGCATCAAGTTTGACAAACGTAAATGTCAAACTCCTTGTTAAGATTATATTCAACTTCCAAAAATATTGCTTAAAATACGAAAAAACTTCAGAATTTAGAAACAATCAATATCTCACTTGTTCTTTTCTATGTGTTAGTACAACTGCACAGAAGAACATGTGAATGATAATACTAAATTTTAACACAGTTAGCATATTTACAAAAACCTTTGTTTAAGACAGATAATGTTATCAAATAAAAATATTTTGACACACAGTTATTTTTTAGATTTCAAAATTAAGGAACCTATTTTAATCCAGAGCAAACAACCTAAAATTAGTAAACGTAAAGATTGACTTTTGTGAAAAAAATTTGTACAAGAAGTTTCATACTGAAAAGACAACGAGTTTAACTTCCATTTGACTATGATAAACTTATATGAATCCATGAAAACGAACAGACACAGCAGCCACTGTTAAAATAATGTAGTTTTAAACAGTTTTTGACATTGTTTGGAAAATTCATGCTATGTAAACACGAGATACTCTTTTTTTATATACACATTCCATTTTGTCACATAACTGAACTGTATTCTGAAATACAGCATACATTTTTTCATAAGATTTACAATCAAAAATATTTCTGGTGGCCATTGTGACCAGATCTTTCTTGGATGTAGAAATTTGGTCAGTATTTTCCCCATGTTTTATTTTAGTCACAGCATAATGGCTCATAGAATGGCTCCACGTTTTTCAAGTACAAACTTTTAGCTCACAGCTCTGTCATCTCTTAACCAATTTGAAATCTAATTATAGTTTTGGACTCAGGAGGTCAAATCAAACCCTTTCGATTGATGTATTTGACCTAGGTCTCATAGGTTAACTTACTCTAATCCAGCCTAAAATAATTTCATTTTGAGAGTAGCCTGGTAAAGATAATGATGAGTGATAAAATCGAATCAGGTATACATACACCCCACACTTGGTATTGCTGACACACAAAATTACAGTTAATAAAAAAAGGGAAAAAAGCTCTCATAGATTAATTTAATACTGCCTAAAAGACTTAAGTGCTGTGGCTATTGAGGATTCCCCCCTTTTTTTTTTACCTGATACCAAAATAAAACCATGTACTTATTTTAAGCCATATAACTGGACAGAAACAGAAAACAAAAGTAAAAAAATAATCCAATATTATTATTCAAGATCTTTAATATCTTAATATCTGAACTCAATCCTAAAAATTTTGTCAGAAATGCACTGTAGGTGAAAATAAACACCATACCAAAGTTTTAAAGGATCATTAAAAAAAAATCACCATAAATACTTTAACAGAATTTTCAATTAAAGGTATTTTCTTATTACATTAAGAATAAATTAAAACAGGCCTTTCAAAATAATGAATGAACACAGAGAGATATGATTGTGATATGTTCCATACTTCCATCAGATATTAAGGAAGAAATTGCTGCTTTGCTACTTTCTTTAGGCTCCTCTGGAGATTCATCAGAAAATGTTCCTTCATTAGATGGGCTTTCTTGCTGAAAATACATTAAAATACAAACTAATGAATTGATATGTATATGGATGTATTGAATATTATTTAGTTTACATGAAATTCAACTTAATTATTAAAACTGGTATTTTAAATTTGAAAAACGTGTGTGTGTGTGTGTATTAAAGAAGCTACAAATCTTCATAGACAAATTCTGCTGTACGGACCGACGGCGGATGTACGGTACAGCGAGGGACCGTAGGGTTTCTGAATGGTTACTTAATCAGTAGTTTCCAGT